ATTTTGAATAAGAATATACCTTTGGATTTCTATAAGCTATGACGTAAATGATAACTTGATAATTAGTATCTTCAGTTCGGTTCATACTATCTACACCAGATGGAAGATTGTAGAGGACAGTCGTTATCTTAACATAAAATTGTATTGCCAAAGCGCGTAGGTTCGGATTCATTCATGAATTCTTATCTGAGCTAAAAATTTTGGCATTTTTATGAATGAAAAACTTACTATGAAGTGTTAAGTGTTATCGCCGGAATGTCTCAATGTATTGACAATGATTGGCAAAAATTTTAATTGGCATTGACGATAAAATTCAAAGTGTGGAATTTGGATTCACTGCTTTGCTTTGATTAATCGACTATGATATTGTTTATTATCAAAGAACAATTAAAGACAATGACCACATAAAGGGTATGAACCGAATTGTTCTACTTGCCATCGAAAAGGAATATGAACGTTAGAAATAGCATTCAGCAATTTTATCGTTCCGACGATTTATAATTTTGATTACATGTAAGATGATAGTTTATATCCAAAATGTATTTGAAATAATTAAATTATCATTCAAAGAAATCATCATTCAATCAAAATTTATTTTAAAGTCTTCAAGGGGGGTGCAATACAACAATATCAATACTTGTTCCAATCATCCACAAACATTTTGTGGACTGATTAAGGTTAAGATCAAATTATTGCGACGGTTCGGTATATTCATTGAGTTTTCTACTAAAAATAATTCCTTAATGACTGATTTATGCCATCGCAGAACATATAAAAGTATAATTTCATAAAAAGGATTGATTAAATCACTTATAGAAATGAAAAAATGTGAATACTTTAACACAGAACGTATAGGAACTCAAACTTAACTCTACATAAGTAAAATATATACATAGATATATATGATATGTATATAATGAGAATCAATGAATCTATGACGTACTCGTAATTATGTATGAATGAAAAATACGAATATTAGAAAGACTTAAGTATTGTAGTTGAACAGTTTAATAGTCTATAACGACTTCAATGTCCAAGAATTATTTCAAGCACTCTGATATTTCTTACTTTTTGTGTCGATATTTTAAGAGTTTTAACAAACAGGTTCGTCGAATGAAGAAATATCGTTAAGCTTACAAAAACTCATTTGATACTTTTTGATTACGGTGCAGATTGATCTATCTATTATGATATATGAAGAAGCTATGATGTAGGTAACGCCAATTGATGATGGTAATTGTAGCAGAGTTACCAATTCACTGAGAAAAAGCTATAATAAACTAAGTATTTACTAAATTGAATATAAAATAGAAGTTAAATAATATATTGAAAAAGTAGAGTGTAGTAAAGTAAATATATCTACATATATCTACATCAAAAAGCAAAATTGCAGTAATTGGGACAGTGAAAGTGATTATTGATGCTCCAACTGATTCTCCAAATATCATTGCAGTTACAAATCACTGATTGGTTGTCCTTTGGTTCTTTAGCCTGGAGGTATGATACGCTCGTACTGCTTTAAAAATGATGAAAGAATGACAAAGCTTCGCACCAGCACTCTGATCACAATTCCTATTGGTACAATTTTAAGGATGTAAATGTGGAATGTATCGAATCTGCAAAAATCACTTTACTTCAGATTTGGTCTGAAGTGTCTAATAATGATAGCCACACTATTACTAAGTTTTCTAGCTGCACAATTGAAGATTTGGATGTTAACGATATGTCGTCTCTATTTTAAGATATTATTTATTCTCTTTTGGTTTTTTTGTTCGAGAAATTTCACTGACTTTTAATTTCACATTCATATGATTTGACATGGTCACGAAGATCATACGATCAGACACAACTGAACTTTTATTTGTTTTTTTTTCGGGGTTTCGAAATGAACCAATATTACGAGCATCCGTCAAGTAATATTTGTGTTATTACTACCTATGAACTGACAAGTCTTCAAAAATTCGCATACAAGAACCCAGGATTGTGAGACATCTCTTCGAAATATTTGAATACTGCTGTATTTCATACCTAATCGAAAGGTCTAAACAATATATTGAAATAAAAATATGCTTAAAATCTCAATCAGAAGTGTGTTTTATTAATGTTTACTTCTGGAACTATAAACTGGATTAACCCGTAATATATTAAATAATTAAGTTTTCGATCTCTAGTATCATTGGTACAGGCATAATTCAGTATTTTATAGTTGTATTTGTTTACATATTAAATTACTAATTATTATATCCTCTAATATGTATGTAAGTAGTGCCACTTAAAACAAAGCCAAAAAAATTTAATATATAATATAATAATAATCTGATATATATAATTATATCACGGTACCAACACTGCTACCGTATTTGATATTTTGTGTTAAGATAAACTAAAATAACTTGGCTGTAAATTACATTCTTATATATAGTCACATATTGACATATCGACATTGACTTCTAAGCGGGTGCCAAGAACTTTAGAGCGATCTTACATGTGATTTCTACAGCGATTATGCGGGAGAGATCTCGCAGTTTCTCGCTCTCACGACCGCTGAATAAGTGTAAAGCACATGTAAGGTTAGCTTTAAGAAACTTTGAGCTTTACTTTAATGTTCGGAATTGTATAAAATTAAAAATATAAAACTATATGCTCTCAGTTAAATTGTTCACTAGTTTAGATTTGGTTTAAGAAAAGATTTTCTTGGATTGTTGAAAATAAAATTAAAATACAATACTATATGTATATTGAAAATTATTATTAATTTGTTGTTGAAAACATTTTTTAAATTATTTAAAAATAAAATTAAAATACAAAACTATATATATATACATTATATATATATAATGTATATATGTACATTAATGTAGTTCATATTAACAGAAAATATCAATCACGGTAGCAGTGCTGCGTTCTTTGAGATCCAGTACCTTGTTTATTTTCTGGTCAGTTTAGAAAAAAATCTAGCTGCTACCAAAATATTAGGCATAGACTCACAGATACTTATTCACATTAAATAGAGACGTAGTTGTCCTCTAATAAGCTACGTGTCTAACTGAAAGGTGAATTCGCAGGTTATCCAGAAGATCTGCTGTGCTGTGCCATTGTCCCACTGTTCTACTGTCCCATTTTTTCAATACGTCTACTAACTTATTGCAATTATTATACTGATCACAATTAGTTGTACTCATATTAAGTAATTGCCTGAAAAGTTTGATATGTGCCATAGTTGATCAATATGATCGAGACGTGCAGATTACTGCTTACGTATAATCCAAGATATTTTAAGTACATCAAAAACAAAAAAAAGAAAAAGTATTTAATTGTCATAAATATTTATGTCCAAATTGCATTATAAATAGAAATTCTAATTTACCACAATTGTCATTAGCATTTTGATTAAGATTATTTTACAGATACTACAATACTTCCTCTGGAACTTAACCCTTTCTATTATTGCAGATTTCTGATAAGTTCATTAAAGCAAATTAAAAACTTGCATCTTTAGGTCTTATCTATTTTTTGCGTCGATTAATTTTCTTATCTTAATTATTTATATTAAATGGAAGAATTATGATAGTAAACAATACTGAAGTGTTTATCGGTAATACGCCATTTTGTATAACGCAATCGCCCACTTCCTTAGAGTTTGAATTTATTAACTATAAAGCCACTTGAAGATAAGCAGTAATAGGTCCGATTAATTTGGGAGCGATTTGTTTGCAATAATAAAAAAGAATCAGTACCTCAAATCTTTTCCTATTTTTTTAGTTTTGGTTTGCTTTAATCGAAAGATAAGCCGCTTAAATCATTCAAAGCCTTGGCAAGTTAAGAGTATAAAAGCGTTACGATAATATGTTATTGAAATCAGTTTCTTCACAATGAAGGCGGCTATTGTTCTAACAGTTTTGGCTATTGCAGGTGTTTCAGCTAACACCTTGGGTTTCAGTAATGTAAAGCCCTTGCATATAAATCCAAGAGAGGAATTCCTACCAGCTTCTAATGATATTCCAAGTGGACGTATCACTAATGGCAATTTGGCTGTTCCCAAACAATTTCCATACCAGGCCGGTTTATTACTCTATGTTGAAGGAGGCGCTGCTTGGTGTGGTGGCACTTTGATTTCAGATCGTTATATAGTAACTGCTGCGCATTGTACCGATAACCTGTGAGTTAAGTGTTCATTATAATTCATGATATTAATTCACTTTCTTTTAGTACTACTGGTGTCGATGTTTATTTGGGTGCTTACAACCGTCTTGATCGTAGTGAACCAGGACAACAAATCATTTTTACGCCTAAGAAATACGTAACTGTGCATGAAGAGTGGGATCCAGAGGCTATTCGTAATGATATTTCCCTAATCAAACTACCAGAAGCAATTACATTTAATGGTTACTAAGACACTAATTTACAGTTCACTGTTCTTCTAAAACCGATTTTAATT